AATAATAACCTTGTATTGCTTAGCGCTCTTGTATGTCAAAACGTCACCAGCACCGCCGTGTCCGCGCTGGTTGTCGTGGTTGTCAATAAAAGCCAGAGCATCGTTTCCGTCCATTAGTGACCATTTGGGACCTACAACCACGCGCCGAAATAATTGCAGTTAAATGCGTATTTCTTGTGTTTGAATTATCCGAAGAAATTATAGACGCTACATACCAAAGCTGAACAGATGTTTAAGAGCATTGTTGCCTCCGAAGACATTGGAAAGCTCCATTCCGTATCGGAACTCCGTCACTCGGCCAAAGCTCGTGTACTCGTAGTTATGAACTCCCTCCTTGCCAGCTGCGTGAGAACGTGCGTGAGACATACGTTGCATTAAAATATATTCAAGTTGTAATAAAGAGTGAGGAGAGAAATTAATTTAACTTACTCTTGTCGATGACCTCTTGGAAGAAGAAGGGGCGCGTGTTTGCGGCGAATCCGTGGTTGGTGTTGAGGTTCTTCACCTTTGAGTAGATGTACTTGAGATCTTCCGGCCACATGTGCTTTGCTGCGTCCACACTGCAAACGTAAAGTTTGATAGGTAGAAGTATGATATTCCTTCATAGAAACTAAAGAGAACGGTCCACGGCTTTTTGTACTTACCGGAAGCCTGCAACTCCATGGTCGATCAAGGCGTTCAGGAACTCGATAATCTTCGTGCGCACGTAGTCTTTGCTTTGATCCAAGTCGTGCAATCCGCTCAGTTCACAGTCGCGCACCTATGCATGGATTCTGCATTAATCTTACGGATCATTAGACAATGCAGTATGACATTAGACAATGCAGTTATTTTTAATACTGCTACTTTTGCCTACCTTCTTGGCGTTGCCGTAGTCGCTGCCAATGTCACAGGTGGCGTGGAAGTCCGACGGTCCATACGGAACTCCCGGATATTGTTTGTTATTAGGGTCAGCGGGGGTGCCACCTGTTCCCACAGCGTTTTTCTGATCGGCAGCCATGTGATTGAAGACGACATCGACGTACACCCTGTTCATGTCATCACGTGTTTCAATTATTCATAGACTGTAGTCAATTATCAGAGAGTGCAATTGCAATGATGTGTCACCTGACGCCGACGTTGTTGCAGCGACGGACCATGTCCGCGAACTGAGCCTCGTTTCCAGACCGAGTGACGAGTTTGTAGGAAATGGGCTGATAGCGCTCCCACCAGGGCCGCCCGGATTTGACGATGTTCTCGTTTGCCGGAGATGTCTGAGCAGAAATGGTTCAATTAGACACATATTCTTTAATTGGCTAATCTGTACATTATCTTGTTTTAATTAGTGTCACTAAACTCTTAGTGAAATGTTGTTTAGATCATCTAATCAGGCAGAGACGCGTACGAACTGATGTCGCGAATAATTGTCGTATTTTAATACTCACAAAATATTGTGTTCTGCTTTTTGAAAATGTTTAGAATGAACGCTTAAATATTGTAAAAAATATTTTTGTTCTATAAAATATAGCTAAAATTGAAAAAAAACACATATTTAAAAAAAAAATTAAGTGAAACTATTGGATCATAATTTTTATATTTGCTATTAAGATTGTTTCCTATACATTTGAAAGGACTCACATATATTTTTCACTTCAAGTTCGGTTTTTAATTTTAATTTTTATAATATTATATTATTCAATTTCATTTTATGTAATATTTTTATCTTTAATGGTGCATTAATAGTTGAATATCCTTCTTGCTTTTCTAAAACAACCGTTTTCTGTGAAATCTAGCTCAAAATTCCGACTTTTCAGAAACACTCAAACGACGTTTTCTGAAAAACTGCTCCTAATTTGTTCTTCAAACTTTTCGAAAGGATAGTATATTTTCTCTCTTTAATATGAAATAAAGTTCATTTTGGGGTATTTTTTGTGTTTTCAAATTTCATTTTCAAAAAATGTAATTTGGGCGGTTTTAGATGCTAGGTGGCAAGAGGATGAGCCATGAAATAAACATTAACACAGACTTAAAAAATTAGAAATCTGAGCAGAACGAGAAATTCTGTGCCATTTTCTAGTATCATTGGTTTAGTTATAAGCCATTTTGTTCACTAGAACATCTTTGTAATTTTGAATTATGCAGTGCGTACCTGTACTCCAGCGTATCCGTATGGCCCTAGGAAGCGCTCGCATTCCTGGGCGATATCGGACCACTTCCACTCGAAGAGGTGGACGATGGTGTTGCGACCTCCCGTCCAGTTGGGGTCCTTCTGGGCCCAGCCCACGGCCAGGAGCGCCCCCAAGACTGCGAGAATGGCCTCGGAACGCATGGCTATGAATGACGGGAATAGTTGCACCCAGCCTCCCGCATCTCTTTTATATGCTTTGAACGTTATCTCTGACTCCCCTGGAGAGCGCCTTCGAGTGGTTTCCGTTACTCAAGTATGCCTTCTATTCTTTGTATGTACTGCAATTTAATTATCCGCACGTGATAGTTGAAAACTTGGATGTTATCATGAGGGATCAGGAACGTGAATTGGAATATGTAATTGCATGATTGCCAGGTAAATGATCTCTGATTATAGAATACATGAAATGATTTGTTATGTTTGACTTTTCCTATGACTAAGAGAATTTTATCATTCTAAATCACTAAAATTATTTAAGCTATACCGCAAATAATTATTATATGTGCACAAAAAAGAAACTAAAAGGAACTATCTAAAGAAATGCAATTTTTCAGGATAACAATTTTATCATTGCACTTACCTCATTGGGAGATAAGATTTTATTTCTTTGTAGTTTAGGTACGAAAATATCGAAACCACCTCAACACGACGATCTTGAACTGTAATAACGATTTCGGCTGTAACAACCGTATTTAAGCTTTTTTTGAGCTGTCCCTTCCCACACACGTTAGAACTAAGGTCTATTCCAAGAATGGTTAAGATTTGTTCAGATGATAAGATACAGGAAATTTTATGCACGATAGGCGATATCAGTATGTAGATGATATGCAACGCATGACTCAGATACGAAGCTTTTGAGCCGAAACTTGGGAAATATACTAGAAGTAATTAAAATCTGGTTGTGCCGTTACGCATATGATTAGGTTATATTAATTTTTTCTGGGGGTTTTATACATTTTATACATACATTTTCTGAAAATTGATTGAATTTTTTTTATTTCTTTTTTTCGGGAATTCGCCGTAGATTCCCACAAAATCAGCAACTTAGGGTAATATGTTAAAGAGATACAAATTAAAAATGTGTTTTCACATTTTATATCTTTCTCAGCTTCTATTGCACGTGTCAGGCTAAAAATTGCAGAGATAGGGCTTTTTTTTATTCGCTTTCTTATGACTATCGCAAATATCAATTTGGTTTTGGGGCACATTTCACCTCTTTATTCAGTTATTTTTCGTTCAGTTTTAATTATGTTCGACTTTCTTTTTGCAACGTGTATCGTTGAACAACAGTGGATTATGGTGTTTCGCAGAGAAACCAAACATATCAAAGAGGTCGTTGATGAAGTGAACATAAGTGCATTTTCTGTCTATCACTCGCGCTTTCTATGTACAGTCGGTTACTTAAAAATGTAGTAGATGACCCTTCAACATCCGAACCCTGTGTGTGCTAGAAAGTCAAAATGTAAAAATTATTTTAAAAAATATTTTTTGTCAAGGTACACAACAGAAGACACATTTCTGTAGAGGTGACATCAATGTAAATGCTCGTAATTCAGAACGTGTGTTATAAACAATTGCATGTATCACGTAAAATAATCGTCTATCGAAAAAATCAACATTACATTAACTGTTCGCATTGTTATTGTCGATGTGTCCAATTTTTTTCGCGTAGTCTGAAAAACTCTGTATCACAAAAGTACAATATAAAAAAGAAATATGACAAGTAAACAGTAGTATGTATTCCCTCTTATCTCTTTTGTGGCTTTTGAGGAGTCTCGGGCCGAGAATATTTCTTTACAGTTCAAGTGTGTGTCAGTGTACAGCGAGAGGGAAGTCACTTGGGGATCGCGTGATCTACAAAAAATATTTATCGTCTTAGAAACGTCGATTTATGAAAAATTGTACTTTGAATCAGTGTTCCATCGTACATGAATGCAGTACGGTTATGATAATATTTTTCTTTCATGTATGTACGTACTGCGTATTTAAGGACATGCTACTATGATACTATTTTGGATTTGAAACTTAAGTTTCCTTCATTCTTCCAAGCGACGACTTTTACGTCCTCGCCCTTAGATAATTTCTTTTTCTACAGAAAACTCATATTGCCGGGCCCTGGTTACGAAAATGTAGATAAATTATGTTCCTATGTAGATATAATTACTTCTTCTAACACTTTGTGTACCTGTAATCCATGTTTTGTGGGTCTTCAATATCGAAAATTCGATAGATGGCAAATCGTCTATAAATCCTCAGAGATATCCACAGGGCAGACTTCCTCAGGCACACTGCTCTGAGGAAGCCTGCGACATGTCACGCGATACGTCGGTCTCCCAGCCAACACCGCGACGTCTCCCGGATAGCCAGGAATTTATGGATTCGAGCTGCGGGAGCTTACGTGTGCATCCGGAAAATCGTCTAATTTCATTTTTGGAAACGACATCTTGGTTTCCTCTGAATTTTATAACAAGATATATATGTGTATAATTTGTTGCACCTATCAATCTTATAGATGCAAAGAAATATTAAATTATCATGCTTCAATATCTCAATTAAAATGTATTTAATTCCGTACTCAAATGTTAAAATAATACAATTAGTGATAAATTAGAGAGTAAAATTCCTTTCGAGAATCATAACAATCTTGTTTGCTTACTGACTTTCATTTTTGATTCAAGTACATTCATATATCTAATAACTGTTTTCTGAGTATCTAAAGCTGTTCCAAAACCACTGGCATAATCGTTTTCCCCTAGCATTGCAGTCAAATAAAAATATCAAACCACGTATCAAATAATTCTAGAGTACAAGACCCTATTTTTGCAGTTGCTACAGGAATTATGTTGTAGATACCACAAAATTCTATTGCAGTAGTCATTGTATGAGATAAAAGTCGTGCTACTGTTGAAACCATCTGCCTTCCCGTACACAAACATTTAAAGTTAATTTGTTTGTCGGATCAATCTCTTCCTTTCTGTGTTTCATGGTATCTTCTAAACATTTTATTTGCAAATGTTTCATGAATCCAAAACTCATGATCTAACAAGAGGTTTCAAACAAGTTTTAATAAAAAAGGAACATTTGTAAAAATAAAATATTTTTCTCAGGTTTACAGTAATGCCGAATGAAATTTGGTTATTTAATAACAATGTTGTGGCTTTTGGAGAATTACAGAATTTGGATTTTCCATCCTCGTAATAGTACACTGCTCATTATGCTCATGAAAGATCTATGGGGGGGGGCTCCAAACATGTTCTTTAGAATCATCTATATCCATTTTATTTCATATATTGCTGTAATATATATATATGGAGTCCGGGGACGAAAAGTCGAAAAATGAGCTCATAAGACATGTTTAAGCATATTTTGTCTAATGTACGTGGATATTCCGAATGGTTGAGCTGCAATAAGCACTCAAAAGTTGGTTTGAAAAATTGCTTTCAAGGCACATATTTTTCATTGCAGAAGCATATAAACACTCCAGGAGTTTGTAAATTGTCTATTATTTACAAAAGAAATTAATAAATTTGATCAGAAACAAGCATTAACACAGAAACATTAAAGTACCCAATTTTCACAGTTCGACTGCTTTTTTTATATCTCACTTTTCTTTCTGTTATTACATATATGTAATAACAAAACAACCAATTTATCAACAGAACTATTTTCATGTTTCTTCTTTGCCACCAACTGCGGAGCTTTTTCTAAAATTCATGGTTCAAAGTCAAAATGTTAAGCCCATTTTAGCAATGTTTTTAGCAAGGTAACGGAAAATCTTTTGTATTTCTTAAATAACGATTATATTTTGGATTAATGTTATGAAGTGTTACTGCGGAATCAATATCTTTTTAAGACCAACAACTATTTTGGCCTGGTTTCTTTAAACATGAAATTTCACCACAAGTAAAAATTTTATTTAAAATTGATTCATGGTGGTGCAGTTTCTCATCCAAATATGTACTTTCTCGCTACCTTCCTCTTACGCAGTAGAGAGAAAGTAATGGTGCGCGAAACAACAGCAAATTTTCTGCAGAAAAACACATTTTACAGGGCCCTGAGAACGAAAAAGTGAATAAAGCCAGTATCTATGTTTAAAAAAAAATTTCTCACACGTGGTGAAGCCAGAATGCATATTTGTGGATCCTTGATAGTGCAAAATGAAATACGGCAAAACGTCCGTCTCTTTCTGGCGGCCTGAGAACGCTAACGGCTAAACCGTGAAAAAAACCGTTCAGCCGATTTTCTCCAAAATTGATATTCCCAAATCGATGTAGCTGATGTCGTGATCCCTTGAATTCGAAACAAATATCTTGATTTTGGTGAATATTTTACATGAAGACTCTGGGACATTTTAAAAAAATGGATTCATTGTTTTGATTAAATTTTGTTGATTGGTAGTGTGAAGAACGTTTAAGAGAATGGTGCAGAGCTCATGTTCTTTGAAGCACTGATATTTCAAAAATTGCAAAAGTTAAAAAAAATGTGCCTCTTCCTACAACTACAATTATAATGATATAAATATTTTTATTAATTAAATCTGCTCCTTAAAGATATATTTTGAAATTAGATCATGACAATGTTTTAAAAAATGAGCAATTTTAGCTTAATTTTGCGCGAAAGTATAGTTGAGAAAGTTTATGCTATTTTAGTTACATAACAAGTTATGCAGTTGTTAGTGTATAAAATTAAGCAGTAAAAAATTGTGTCCAAAATGGACTGAACTATTTTAAACTTTTTTTCAGACTCTTTTTGCTTCAATTCCAAAGCGCAGTTTCAATCTTCTTGAACGATTCATGCCCATGTCGTGGACTGAAAATTTCATAGGATTACTAATTCGAACTTATCAATACCGGAAAGTGAAATACGTCTATAATGAGCTCAGTGAACTGTAGTTTTATTAATATTTCAAATATGTAATTCGGCACCAGATATCACCTACTACATAACATGAAGCTTGAATGCGGTTGACTCAACCAATGCAAAGAATGAGCGAACCTTGTACGATGCGGTGGACGCAGTAACCACTGCTAGATGAAAGTGCATATGAATGTAAAATAACGTATTCTGTTTTATCACAAATTATTGGTAGAAAATATTTCTTGTTGAATCTTACTACAACAGAGCCATCGCGAAAAGAATTAGCATATTCAACTGAATAAGTCACCTCTTCACAGTTTGTCAAAGACTCCATCCAAGATATTTCCCAAGATTACTCAAGGTGGCAACCAATTATTACGAGAAACAATGTTCTATTCAAATATTTTTTATTGATTTACTATAATTTTACATAAAAATGTTAAACACGGCTGGTGACGTCGAGAAGATGGTAACATAAACGTGTTGTGACGAATGCCCGGATTACAGCTTAGACTGCAACAGAAAAGAAAGTCATTAGATAAAGTCGATAAAGCGTCTAAATTACGAGGTAAAGTACAAACACTCACGTCGACGGTAATAGCAAGAACACCATCATTTTCAGAAGTCTTGATCTCGATGTACGCCTTCCCATCGCTGCCCACGGTGACGCTCTTTCCGGTGCAGCTGCTGCCGGACTTGAGGCCGGAGATCAGGTCGCAGTAGGTGCCTTGGGGCAGGCCAGTCTATGAAAATAAATCATTTCAGAGTTCGGTATGAATATATTTATGCGCAATGCTTAACGTGTCATGTCATAACATTGACCGTGCTATAAAATCGACACAATAGTGGTTAATAGTATTACGACGGTAATCAACCAATGACAGCCTCTTATGACACATTGTTCCGATTATTTAATATAATCTTTGTCATATCGTACTCTCTTTGTAAATGACATACAATTTTTCCCAGATAACAGAGTACTGATGGAGTAATGACAAGAATGAGTACTGAGATAAGTGGTATACTTCGAAAATGCAAGATAATACGTTTCTATAGATACTATATTCCGAATTACGAACTTTGTATTACAGACATGTTTTAAAACCAAACAAGTTAGTGCAAATAATAACATGGCAAAAAAAACCTTGGTAAAACCCTTACCTGCAAAGTTTGAGCCAGGTTGTATGAGTCTTTGTTGAAGGCAATGAAGCCCTTGTTTCCGCGTGAGAAAGCAATCTGGTTGTTTCCGTTGTCCCACCAGTTCAGCACGTCAGTGACTGTAACGCATTTTTCAGAATTATACTTCTCTTTCTAACTGAATAAAGCTGAAAACTTTGTCTAGATTTGGAAGCAAAATGGACACTTACATTCCGTAGCCTTCTTGAAGGCCACCATGTTGTAAATCTGCCTCCATCGGTGCTCGCACACCCAGCCGTTGCCGCAAGTGAGGTCGCTGTTGATGATCACGTCCTTGATGTTGCCATTGCCGTCAGCTGGGGGACCGGCATCGGTATTAGAGAAGTCGTAGCTGGACATGACGCGAGTGACGCCGTACGGCCAGGCTTGCATGAACGCAATAGCCATCTGGAAATAGAGAACGTTTTTCAAGCTTCGTGAATAGCGCACAACGCTTGAAGAGAGATTAATGAAAAAGGTCTTACTTTGTACGGCTTTGCGGATTTGTATGTCAAAATGGACCCAGCTCCACCGTGGCCTCTTTGGTTGTCGTGGTTGTCAATGAAAGCCAAAGCGTCGTTGCCGTCCATGAGTGACCATTTGGGTCCTGCAACCACGCGCCAAATATTTTTTTCAGTTAAAAGCGTATTACTTGTGATTGAACTATTCAAAAGACGATAGAAGCTACATACCCCAGTTGGACAGATATTTGAGAGCATTGTTGCCTCCGAAAACTCCGGAAAGCTCCATGCCGTATCTGAACTCCGTCACTCGGCCAAAGCTCGTGTACTCATAGTTGTGAACTCCCTCCTTGCCAGCTGTACAAGACATACGTAGCATTAAAATATATTTCGCTTTTAATGAACAGCTAGGAGAGAAAATAATTTAACGTACTCTTGTCGATGACCTCTTGGAAGAAGAAGGGGCGCGTGTTTGCGGCGAATCCGTGGTTGGTGTTGAGGTTCTTCACCTTTGAGTAGATGTACTTGAGATCTTCCGGCCACATGTGCTTAGCTGCATCCACACTGCAAGCGCAAAGTTTGATTTTATTGATTGATTGTTTTAATGATTCCGGGCAATTCAACCATCAGGTTCAACAGTCCCGTAAGTCTAGTGCATGTTTTGTACAGGCGGCGGCGGCGGCGGCGGCGACGATCATATTTCCCTCTCTGTATGGCGAGATCCGGCACTAGCGTACTGGCTGCTAGCAGGTTTTTCCCAACCAGAAATCTCCCACCAGCCCTGCACCGTCCCAGCCGGAAAAAGCTCTAAGATCCTGACACGACTCTGAAATCTCTACTTGTGTAGTGCATGTTCGTGTGTGTTTGCGTAAGGTGAGAGGATAGAAAATGGAACAGGTAGGAAAGATCGGCGCGGTCCGTGGCCCGTTTGATAGGGTACTGCTTCGGTATTCGCCTGGTGTTGATCGGAGAAACTACGAAAAACTACCGATCAAAGCAGCCGGCCAATAGAATTCCCCTCCGGACAAGGACTTAATTCAATCTGACGAGCTAGTGTCGCAAATCCTGCCACCTAGGACATCTCGTTCAGAGTGACTGCAGTGACACCAGTTAATGTCCTGTGCCATCTCTCGCGGTGGAAAGTTTGATGGGGAGAAGAATGAGATTCCTTTAAGGGAACTGAAAAGTGCGTTGCTCGGTCTTTCGTACTTACCGGAAGCCAGCAACTCCGTGGTCGACGAGGGCGTCCAGGAACTTGATGATAGTCGTGCGCACGTAGTCCCTGCTTTGGTCCAAATCGTGCAATCCGCTCAGTTCACAGTTGCGCACCTGTGTATTGATTCCGCATTAATCTTACACATCATTAGACAATGCAGTATGAGTGATTGCTAATACTGGTTTCTTTGCCAACCTTCTGCGCGTTGCCGTAGTCGCTGCCGATGTCGCAGGTAGCGTGGAAGTCCCAAGGTCCGTATGCAACTCCTGGATATTGTTTGTTATTAGGGTCAGCGGTGGTGCCAGCTGTTCCCACGGCGTTTTTCTGATCGGCAGCCATGTGATTGAAGACGACATCGACGTACACCCTGTTCATGACAACACGTGTTTCAATCATTCATATTCTGCAGTAAATTATCAGAAAGTGCAATTGCAATGATGTGTCACCTGACGCCGACGTTGTTGCAGCGACGGACCATGTCCGCGAACTGAGCCTCGTTTCCAGACCGAGTGACGAGTTTGTAGGAAATGGGCTGATAGCGCTCCCACCAGGGCCGCCCGGATTTGACGATGTTCTCGTTTGCCGGAGATGTCTGAGCAGAAATGGTTCAATTAAATACATATTCTATAAACGGCTGATCTTCGTTGTTCATGGTATTGTGTTATCTTGAGATTTGGTGTCACAAACTCTCAGTAAAATGGTGATGAGATCATTCAGTCACTCAGTGTTTCATAACTTGGGGGAGGGACCTTGATGACCAAAGACATTACCAAAGATTATAAATAAAATGCCCTAGAAACCAAGCAAAATAATGTAAAAATTGTGATCAAAACCACTTTAGATGAAAAACTGGAGCTGTTTGGTTTGATACTGATGTAATTAAGGCTTCTTTCTATTGTTCAAGTGAACTCAGCTAGCAAACATTTGGTTTGGACTGATCTTTAAAAAAATCTCTTCCTTTATTTTTCGCGATCTAGGCTGAACGTATGATGGCGCCAATAAGGGTCACAGGAACCTAAGATTACATAGTAGTCACAACAGCTGACATTACAATATACGAGCGGAGAAATCGAATATGCTTCTCAGAAATTCTGCGGTAAACACTTGTTGCTCCTTGAAAATATTGTTTTTAGCATGTATCAACAAAATGATGTTAAATGGGCTCAATCAGCAATAAATGCATTAAAATTACGCGTGAAGTTAAAAATGACTTATAAGTAAAATTCTACGAAAAATTCAAAAAAAAATTACATATAATAATTGTTAATTTCGTTTTGTCTTGACATACAATAAATATGTGTACTAACTGGCATTGTTCTAAAGTGAAAAGGAAAAAAATACATTTCATTAAAAAACGTCCCCTATGTATAACTGTTGACACGAGTAAATGTCGTATATGAAAATGTTCATAATTGAAATCATGGTTTCTTCTATAATTTTTCGTTTGCTTTTTTATATCGTTTGGAATGAAATTTTTAAGTTTTTTAAAATTAAATTTATTATTTAACATATACTTTCAATTTAAATGACAACTGTTTTCTAAACGTTTCAAAAAACTATTAGATTGTAACTTTTATATTTGCTACTAATATTGTTTTTTAATGGATTTTGAAATGCACACAAATATAAATGTTTGCCTTCAAATCTGTTTTTTTTTAATTTTTGTATTGTTACATTATTGATAAAATACAGAAAGATATTCGTTTGCATGTGTGTAGTATGGAATGTCATAAGTGGGAGCAAAATAAAAATATTTTTTAATACAAAAAACACGAAATAATTATTAATACAGTAATTAACGAAGAGTAAATTATAAAATTCAATTAAGAATATGAATAAATAATTTAAAAATATTTCCACTAAAATTGTTGTAAGAACTTAAATTAGGATTAATATGAAATTAATAAACAAGAATTTTTGTTGGTTTCAATGAAGGAATCATTAGTTTAAGCTGTCATTGGAGTATTGTATTTTTACAAATCTAGAATGTTAGTAAATAATACAGCAGACGTTTCTGCTATATTTTTTACTTCTGCTATATCTAGTTTTTAATATATCAGACGTTTCTGAATATTTTCTGCAAAAAATTACGATAAAATTTTTACTAATTTCCTTATTTTCTGAAATAATTATCCATTGTATTACTCAATTACCATAATTCTGTAGTTCTTTCATTTTTGATGTAATCATGTCAGTAACATACGCGAATGACAGTTCTACGTTACAAAAGAATTTCTCAGAATATGCTGTAATAAAAACCCGTTTTCGTTGTTTAAAAAAATTATGTTAATGTTTTAGAGATTTTTGAAAATCCCCAGAACGAATTCAAAAAACAAAACATCGAATGCGTCTTCGTTTCTCTGCATTGTAGACCAGAAGAGGTACAACGTAGAGATACAAACAATGACGAGACCAGAAAAGGTACAAACAATGACGAAGTGACGGACGTGGGTTACACATTTCTTTTATAAACCTATATTGACTATTGGAAGAATTAATAAGAATAATTCGAATAAAACGTAATTGATATCAAATAGTTCTTGTTTTCAAGTGTAAATATAATTTTAAGATGTACGCAGTTAAAAAACAATAATCTTTATTTAATAAAAGAAAACATTGGTATTTCATAGAGCATTGCTTGATCAGAGATGAATCCATTTTAATCTCATGTCGATTTATTTACACTTTTTTTTTACTTTCGCGCTAAGCTTACAAGGTAGAGAGAATTTACGTCAGAACAATTCTTGTTTCAGGGCCCTGGCAATGAAAAAGTGTGGATAAATCCAGTTGCTAAATTTAGAAGGAAACAAATCCTCTAAAACGTGATATAGTCACAATCTGTGTTTTCTGAGTGATTTATTCCCAAAATACAATATGGGAAAATGTCTGTCAGCCATCCGTTCGTCCGTCCATCCGTTCGTCGTTTCGTCGCCGACCGTCCGTCGTCGTCCGACCGTCCGACGTCGCTCGCGTCGACCGTCCACCGTCCGACCGTCTACTCTGACCGTCTGTTGTCTCCGCCCGTCCTTCACCGTATGACCGTCTTGTAACAACGCTTGGGCTAAACCTGTCAGCCGATTTTATCTAAAATTGATATTTCCCGATCAATGTGGCCGTAGTCGTGTCTTTTCAAATTTAAAATCGATCATTTAATTGTATTTTTTATAAATTCCATAGGAACTTTCAAAGAATTATGCAGGCGTACCTGGACTCCAGCGTATCCGTATGGCCTAGAAGCGCTCGCATTCCTGGGCGATATCGGACCACTTCCACTCGAAGAGGTGGACGATGTGTTTGCGGCCTCCCTCCAGTTGGGGTCCTTCTGGCCCAGCCCACGGCCAGGAGCGCCCCCAAGACTGCGAGAATGGCCTCGGAACGCATGGCTATGAATGACGGGAATAGTTACCCAGCCTCCCGCTCTCTTTTATATGCTTTGAACGTTATCTCTGACTCCCCTGAGAGAGCGCCTTCGAGTGTTTTCCGTTACTCAAGTATGCCTTCTATTTCTTGTAGACGCCAAAATTAATTATCCGCACGTGATAGTTGAAAACTTGGATGTTATCGTGAGGGATCAGGAACGTGAATTGGAGTATGTAATAGCATGATTGCCAGGAATGTGACCTCTGATCTTAGCTCCGATGAAATGATTGGTAAAGATGAATTTTCCTGTGACTAAGAGAATTTTATCATTCTAAATCTCAAGTAATGTTGCTACTTAATTGCACAGACTTTCCCGTATTAGTCTTCTATTTCCTATGGTGTAGGTCCTATTCGAAGTTCTCACATACTCTTGCCTGCTGCCATCTATCGCCTCTCGAAGTACATTTTTTGCCATGTTTTAAAATATGTGGTTTTCTAATTGTAGAGCTAAAATTTTATTTTAAGATTATTAAAGAACAGTATAACCTCGTTCTAAATGGCAATTTTCTTAGAAAAAATTGGGACTATTTTAAAAAAGCCCTATTGTTTTTAAGTTCTACTGTACATTCAAAATATTAAGCTCTTATTCACACAAAAAATTGAGTGTGCGAAAAAATTTATTTGAAGTCGTTTTAAGTACTTTAACTCTCAAATACAATAGTGTTTGCAAATTGCTGGAAAGATGCAATTCAAAAAATTACATTTGTGTAATTTTTGAAAAAACAAAAAGTACCCGAAAATGTCATATTAAATAATGCAATTAGCACTATCCTTTCGAAAATTTTGAAGAAAAAAATAGAGCGGATTTTGAGAAAATGGCGTTTGAAAGTTTATGAAAATGCGGAAGTTTGAAGTAGTTTTCAATGAAAATGGTTGAATTTTCGAGAAACTTCATCACGTAGTATTTAAAGCACATGTACTTAAAAATATAATAATGTGAGCAAATTGCTGCTACGTAAATATCAACGACGTGAGAGACTAGTCAAAAAATTACATTTTTGTAATTTTTGAAAAAGCAAAAGAAAAACGCAATGTGGCGTTTATTTCATCTTATAGAGTGCATTCATCACTATCTCTACCAAACGTTTAAAGAAAAAATTTGGTGGCATTTTAGAAAATCTTGTTTTTGTAACTTTTTAAATTGCACGTATTCCACGCAATATTCCGCGAAGATTATTAAAATTTTCCAAAAAATGTACACGACCTTCATGAAAGAACTCACTATGGTGAACAAATTGTATTTGAAGGAAAACTTTAATTTTGTGGACACCGACAGGAAGACACGTAAAAAATCCATTCATTTGAAATTTTTGAAAATGTTGAATTAACCGTGAAAATTTGACCTATGACACTTTTATAGGTGTGTGTTATTCCATTTTTACAAGAAATTTAAAAAAGAAAAATAGGGGCTGGTTTTGAGAAAATTTTGAAGTGTCCGGAGGGCTTTATGTAAAATACCCCTAGATTTTGAAGAAAGTTTCGACACGAGCCAGATGTCAGGGTTTTCTTCAATTTGGAAACAATCTTACACATGGTTTAGGCGCTAGTAGTCTTCACAGACACCAGACGGACGGATGGACGGTTCGAAAAAAAAAAAACACTTTCAGTTGTCTCAAAAACGTGTATTTCGGTTGAAATCTCGAAATTGTATTCCGCAGGATTACATAACTTTTCCTATAATACGTATATTACTCCGTATATACGTACGTATACAGTGAAGTAAAATTATATTTGCACCGGAAGTGTCCATAATAAACAAGACAGGATAACTATTTTATCTCTGGCCGTTTATAAAATAGTATTATTTCAGTATTTTTCTGCTCTGGGAAAACTGTGATGTTTTTTGAGATGTAAGGTTTTCCGTGAGCATCGATGACCTGTCACCAAATATTTTTAATACGATTGAGCATTGATAATTCGAAAATTTAAAGTCAGAACCTCGATAATTCGAACAGCCCAAGCAGAAAAATGAGTTCGTAAAAAAGTATTTGGTCATTGTTTTCGGTGGAGCTGTATTGTTAAAAGAATGCCCAGTGATGCCCAACAATACCCCATTGTGTACTGTAAGATTTCATTTCTCAGTCGTATATTTACGAAAAGTATTGGAATCACCTCAACACTACGATCTGGTATTGTTGGTCGTAAGATCCGTATACAGGATGTTTTTGAGCTGTACCTTCCCACACGCGTCAGGATTAGTGACTATTAGCGTTGTTCCAAGGATGGTTAAGATTTGTTCAGATGGTGCAGAGAGAGAGAGAGAGAGAGAGAGAGAGAGACGTAATTTTGAACACGAAAATCAAAGTGATTGTGGTTGATTGAATGTGTGACATGAATCAGATTAGCGTTTGAGCTGAAACTATGTAAATACGCGAGAAATAGATCTTGTTGTGCCGTTCTGAAGATCATTAAGTTCTATTAATTTTTATGGGGTAATATACATGAAGCTCTTTTGGCAATTTCAAAATGTTCTGTTGAACTTTCTTTCTTTTTCCTTTCTGTCTTTCTTTTTTCTTTCATTTTTCCTTCTTTTTTATCCTTCTTTTTCCTTCCTTTTTCCTTCTTTTTTATCCTTCTTTTTCCTTCCTTTTTCTTTACTTTTTCCTTCTTTTTTTCTTCGTGTATCCTTTCTTTTTTCCTTTCTTTTTTCGGTCTGTCTTTGTGTCTGCGTCTGTGTCTGTCTTTGTGTCTGTGTCTGTCTTTGTGTCTGTGTCTGTCTTTGTGTCTGTGTCTGTCTTTGTGTCTGTGTCTGTGTTTGTGTCTGTGTCTGTCTGTGTGTCTCTCTGTCTATCTTTTTTGTGTCTATCTATCTTTTTTTCTGTCTGTCTGTCTGTCTGTCTATCTTTTTTTCTGTCTATCTGTCTGTCTACCTTTTTTCTGTCTGTCTGTCTACCTTTTTTTCTATCTTTTTTTCTGTCTGTCTGTCTACCTTTTTTTCTGTCTGACTGTCTACTTTTTTTCTGTCTGTCTTTTTTTCTGTCTGTCTGTCTTGTTTTCTTTCTTTCTTTTGTTCCCTCGAATAGAAAGTACTAACATTGTATGTTTAAAACACCATGGGTTTTCGTTTAGAAAGACATTTGAGCTTCTACTCAAACATATTTTGTAATATTGACTTTAAATCAAAGGTAGCGATTCACATATTTTTATCATCTGCTTTATTATTATTATTATTATTATTATTATTAACATATTTTGTATTATAAATCTTAAATTGCAGTAACATCTAATAATTAATAAATTGACCACTTATTTATCGTTGTGTGTTCTTGTTGTCGTTTGTTAATGAGAGTTCTTAGAGGACTATTGAAGGTATTCGAATTTTCATAATTTAGTCCGAGCATGATTATAATGTGATATAACGTAAAGTAATCGACTGTCAACAAAATCATTATGAAATAAAATATTGGAATTATTATTCTCAATTTGTTTCCCGATTTTTTCTTCGCCTGGTCTGGGACACTCTGTAACACTATGTTCTATGTGAGAAAGGAATATGATAAGTTTACTGTGGACATGTAGTATGCATTTCCTCTTATATCTTTTGTGGCTTTTGAGGAGTCTCGGGCAGAGAATATTTCTTTACAGTTCAAGTGTATGTCAGCGTACAGCGAGAGGTGAGTCACTGGGGTATCGCGTGATCCGCAAGCAATCTTTATCGTATTAGAAACATCGGTTTTTGAAAAGTTGTACTTTGAATCAATGCTCCATCGTACATGAATGTTATACGGATCTGATAATATTTTTCTTTCAAGTATGTACGTACGACATGTTACTATGATACTATTTTGGATTTGACACTAAGTTTCCTTCACATTTCAAAACAACGACTTATACTTTCTCGCCTTTACTTAGTAAGATAAGGTATTGTGCGACAAAAAAACACTTCTTGCCGGGTCCTGGTTATGAAAATGATAAATCTTGTTCCTATATATAGTCAATTACTTCCTCTAATACATTGTGTAGTCAGAATCTATTTTTTGTGGGTTCTTGATACCAAAAATTCGATTGAGTGCAAAACGTTTCGAATTTCATTTTTGGATGCGATGCCGTGGTTTCCGCGGACGTTTATATCATTAAACGTAAAACGTCCGTCAGTCTGTCCGTCCGTCTATGGGCAAAGCTAGCGCCAAAATTGTTTAGCCGATTTTCTTGAAAATTGATAACAAGAATAAAAAGTAAAAAGTATCCCTTTTAATGTATACTCTCTTCGGATTTTAACAGAATGTTTACAAATACACGTTGAAACACGTCACACAACAATGGAGACGAAATGAAAATATTGTGAATTCCCATTTCGCATCGCATAAGCGTTATTGGAAGAATAGTATTTCCATTTTGTTATTTACGTGCGGAACAATAGAAAACTCCAAACAGTGTTTCAGCGGTCCTTGGTACGGAAAAATTGGTTAACGGCAAATCGTCTGATCATCTGTGAACAATGTTAGCGGCTAAACCGCAAGCCGGATTTTCATCAAAATCAATTTATTTGCCAAATTGTCTTCGACATTTATTGATGAAAGTAACATCCAAAAGATGGTGCAGAGTGCACGCTAGTGAAACGTCACAACCTCAAATCCACGAAAATTAAGATAAGATAATTTCAGTGCTTCTACATCTGAGGATAATGCATTTCAGAAAATTTCTGTTGCAATTATGAATTTTTTTTTGCATTGTAAGTTTAACTTGCGCAGAATGAAAAATATGGTTTATCCTCATCTGTATGGAATCATTTTTTAATTAGCTAAAATATGCATTGTTGAATATTTTAGTAAATAGTTAATTATCATATTGTAACACATTTTCAGTAAGCGGTTTGTAGGTTCCTGGTGAGAGAAATCGTATATTCAGAGTTTTGACCATCAACATACAAATTTTAGAGAATTTATTTTTTCCATGATCTTGAGTCGAATGAACTATTTCGAATCCTTTTAGGTGCTGCACTTCTCTCACACTTTTACACTGTTATCGGAATTGGTGTACATGTGATAAATGGCAATTAACTGAGTTGATATTTTTCTGTAATTTACGAACGTTTTTAGAATTAAATTACAGAATTGTTACTTTAATAAATATGTTGAAACGAATATGAAATAGAAAACATCATAACACAGAAAAAATCAAATTATTTGTAATCTTTATATTTACATACACTTTATAACTGATTTCGTTTATTTTTGTTTAAAATTTGGTGTTATACACAAGGGCTTAATACATCCTGTTCAGCAGTGGGCTCTTTTCATGTTTTATGTCGTGATTTTCCTAAGGGAATGTGTTCGGGGCGATGTTTCTGAGTTGTACTCTGCGAAATGTCATTCGAAGAAGCATTTCAAGTTAGGGCCGCCTTTTTCTCTTCGGCGTTGAAGCTAATTGAGCGAAAATTTTGCAAAGACAATAACGCAACTAATTTCCTAATTTCTGCCGAAAATTTAGCTGCCAATCTGTTCCTCCAATTTAAATACTGAAACAGAGCTGTTAAAAATTGTGTTCAAAAGGTTAAAAACATTTTTAAATAAAATGTTTTCAGTCTTGTCTGGAAATTGAGTAATTAATCATTGACGAATCTACGAAATCAACACCTCTCATTTATGGACTGTATTCTACTGACGCCTCAATACAGCACTTCCGACATTATCAAATTATTGACCAATAATTCACCTGCCCTCTGCCTATTACTTTTCTCTCATTAGATATCTCTTTAAATAGTATGGTATTAGATATACGTATTATATGACCTAAGAGTATTTATAATATGAGTCAATAGAGCCTGCCCTACGTAAATTCAGGATGCATTTTTTTTGTCGAGGTTCTATAGTTTTGAATTATCTACTGAAATAAAAAAATCGCCTTCTTCGTGGAAATTTACAATTATTCAACATTCGTTTCGTACAAATCCTTTATGGTAACTTCCTTCCTCGCAAGTTTATTACAATACTCAGTTTTTATCATTAACAAACGTTTTCTATTATGCGCAAATGATCTCAAACCAAATACTACAATAGACACAAACCATGAATAAACACCCTTTTAACACATAATTTACACTTGTAACACATCATTCATCACCTATTATATCACAAATGACCATATTTTCTATTTATTTATATTATTTCTGTTACGTACACTCTTCTTATGCTCACTTTTTACGTTTTATGTTACTTCTACTTAGGTTTATGTACAAAACTTTGTCCTCCTACAAATTTATAAGAATGTCTTTGCTCTTCTCTGGTTGTTTCATTGGTCTGCGCTCTTTAGAGATAAAAATATCAACATCGTTTACTCCAGTTCAGTAAAAACTCCCGGACTGCCATTTTGCATCCTTGATCTACTATATTCGAATGCTCGAAAATTGTACCAATTTTTATATCTTGCCAAATTCTCTATTAATTTAACTAATCATTCGCTACTATGATACTACAAAATTTAGAACTCAAGTTCACACAAATTATTATTCACAACATAGACTAATTTCTCTACTCTCTAACGCCCTAACAAAACTGTTTGTCACGAGTGCGCATTCCATTCGTCACTGTTCACGCCCTCACATTCACCTTCAACTATTTTCTTTTCTGTTAAGAAACACTTTGGATAATTTTCTTGTTACTTCTTTTTTCTCCGTTATTTTCATTTGTCCTCTCCTCTTCAAATTTCTATTGGCTTTTTAATTCGACGTCAATAAATACATTCTGTCTATTAGTTACTAATTTTATTTTACACTTTAACTTTCCTTCTTATGGAAATCGCTCAAGATACGTCCCAATTTCACTAAAATGCTGACTAGTTTATTGCCTCGTTATTGCATCTACACGTTTCCCTATTATCTTATTGATAATTCACATATCTGTCCCATACTCATTATTCTTTAATGCGTAATAAAAAATAAGTAATTATGGTTTCGGCATCCTCAAGCTAAATACTGAGTAAATGACTCGTCTGTGGTTTGAATTTCAATCCCTTTCTTTTCTTTTTAAAAATTTCACATCCTTGTCGTGGACTGAGATTTCCATTAACATTACTAACATGATCGAATCATTTCCGCAAAGAACAGTACGCCCAAAAATGAGCAAAGAGAACTGTAGTTTTATTTATATTTTTAATTTACAATTCGGCAGCGGATAGCATCAACTAAATATCATGCCGCTTATATCATGACCCAAACAGTGAAAAGAATGGCTGGCACTTATACCACGCGGTATACGGTAAACATTCCCAGAAGGAAGCGCAAACAATATACAAAAATTATTCTGAATATCACTCATTATGCGCAGAAAATGTTCCTTAGAGTAGCGTATGTTCCTAGTAGACAAGTACATAAATTAAGCCTTAGTGGGATGTAACAAAGTATGCAATCTTGAATTTTTGATAAAAGACTCCAAACAAGACATTTTCAAGATAATACTGGAAATGGCAATCATAACAGCAATTATATTATTCAATTGTTTTTATTCATTTTATTTAAATTCATATAAAATGTTAGTAATTTGTTTGGTAATTCGAGAAAAACAGTAACATTTATTAGTTAAAAGTGTTGTGACGAACGCCGACATTACAGCTTAGACTGCAGCAGAAAAAAAATTATTATTAGAGAAAGCCGACAAATTCCTTGTAAATCACGAGGAAAAGTAAAAATACTCACGTCCACAGTAATTGCAAGGACACCGTCATCTTCGGAAGTCTTGATCTCGATGTACGCCTTCCCATCGCTGCCCACGGTGACGCTATTTCCGGTGCAGCTGCTGCCGGACTTGAGACCGGAGATCAGGTCGCAATATGTACCTTGCGGCAGGCCAGTCTATGAAGATAAATAATTTCAGATTTCGCTATGGATATATATGAGTTAAATTGTAAAATGCCTTACGAGCCATGTTATGATATTCACTATAACTATAACACTGATATTGACTATGACAGCGCTATAAAACGGACATACAATAGTTAACAGTATTACTACTGTAATCAACAATCACTGCCTCTTTTGGCACTTAACTCCTATTATTTAATATAATCTTTGTCATTACATACTCCCTTTGTAAATGACGTACAACGTTTCTCAGAACACAGAATACAGATGAGTAATGCCAAGAATCAGTGATTTAATGAAGAGTTGCAAAATAATGCGTTTCTACATACACTATCTTTGAAATTGCAAGTTTCTATTTCTATTTTTTAAATGCGTCAGTACAAAAACTAACATTACGCAAAAAACATTGGTAAAACTCTTACCTGCAAAGTTTGAGCCAGGTTGTAGGAGTCTGTGTTGAAGGCAATGAAGCCCTTGTTTCCGCGTGAAAAAGCAATCTGGTTGTTTCCGTTGTCCTACCAGTTCAGCACGTCAGTGACTGTAACGCATTTTTTAGAATTATATTTTTCTTTCTAACTGAATAAAGCTGAAAACTTTGTCTAGATTTGGAAGCAAAACAGACACATTCGGTAGCCTTCTTGAACGCCACCATGTTGTAAATCTGCCTCCAGCGGTGCTCGCACACCCAGCCGTTGCCGCAGGTGAGGTCACTGTTGACGATCACGTCCTTGATGTTGCCGTTGCCGTCAGCTGGGGGACCGGCATCGGTATTAGAGAAGTCGTAGCATGACATGACGCGAGTGACGCCGTATGAACTTGCATGAACGCAATAGCCATCTGTAAACAAATTAAAATAACGATCAATTAAACATTTTACGCAAGGTAATATATCTGCAGGTAACATACTATTCTCATGATTAAAACACGTTTTGTGAATAGAGATAGTCACCTTGTATTGCTTGGCTCTCCTATGTGTCAAAATATCACCAGCGCCGCCGTGTCCTCTCTTGTTATCGTGGTTGGAAATGAAAGCCAGAGCGTCGTCGCCCTCCATTAGTCCCCATTTGGTTCCTGAAGTCTCGCACCAAATGAAATTACCAGTTAGATGCATATTACTTGTGCATTAACTATTCAATAATAAGTTGCAAACTACTTACCCCTGTTGGTGAACCATTTGAGATCATTGTTACCTCCGAAGACATCAGAAAGTCAATCCGTCAATCCACAATCCACGATTCATCACTTGTCACGATGTCATCGACGTGTTTCGAAGCACCGCGATCGTATTTTTTGAGCATTTATTTCCACCAATCGACACGGGCGATCAAAAAGATGGGTGTGCGATCAAAAAGAGCGATTGACAAATTGTGTAAGATCCAACGCGAACAAATGTTTTTGACAGTCAAATGTTCAGTGCAATAATTGAATGTAGCTGTCCCACTTAAGCTAAGTTATCTCAAACTCACAATAGTGTACATGACGATCTTGCAATATCAGTTCACGCCACAGCAGTCCAATGGTTTTTCTAATAACAATTGATTGTTACGACCTTCGCGAAATTCGTCTTGGAGTGAACTACGACCATGATTGATTTCACCATACCATCGATAAACACTGGTCTTTGATGTAGCTTCATCGCCAAAAATTGAATTAAGTTCATCCATGCACTGTTAATCCACGTCGAAAGTTGTAAACAATAATCGCACGAAAATGTTCACGATTTAATTCCATTTTTGGTCCAAGATGAATCTTTTAAGATACTGTAAACAACACAAATAGCGCTCGTATGTCAAAACGTAATAAGTACATATAACCTCAAAACATCCAACTTTACGATAGAGCTGTCAGTTGCCAGATTGCTACACCAGGTTTACCAAATTCCGAAACATAAATGGCAACCTGTATAGGTAGATATTATCTGCTGTATCGTTTGAAGAGCTACTTTGAGTGGTAGTGACGATTAAATTCGAGGGAATCTTAGAAGTGGGCGTGGGGATGCACTGTGATTTGATTGAGTGCGCGTGACTGGGAAAGTATTGAATGTTATCGGACCTGATCTTGAACGTGTCTGCATGAATATGAGTGTAAGTACAATGAACTTTGTTCAGAACGTACATCAAATATTTTAGTTAACCTTCTAATGCCTAAAATGTTTTATATAGACGTACGTACATTAATAATCAGTTTGTAATTTGCTAAAGAGATGTCTTCAGTGTTCTATACGTAAATTCGATATCGTGGTCACAAGGTTCTTACGAATCTCTGAATATGGTTGTGTTAGTAGGTCGGTTTGTTGTTATGTTGAAATGCGCTTAATGTACTTGTTATATGAATATATTATATTCATTAGTATTCCAATTCATTATAGTAGTGATTATTGTCTAATCGCTCGGATTGTTCCAAAATATTTTAGAAATATTTTATCATTGATCATCGTTCTAGTAAATAATTAGTTCAATTGAGATGACTCGAGGTGTGCCGAACTGAGCCGGACATGCGAAATAATAAAATATTGAACGAGAGTAAATAAAACGGAGCCTTAATACAACCAGAATTACGTGAACAATCGTAATAGTTGATATATTTCTATTAGTTTTCATTTGTCGAAGAAAAAGTTGTAAAATTCTATGTAATGAGTATTAATCCACCCGTGTGAATTTTAAGACATTTAATCGCACCTGGAGTTTATTACAGATTATATTAGTGTGTTAATACTAATTTGTTGTTTTCTCTTTATTTTAAATATTTTTACGTTTAGATAATTAATTTTTACAATCGAGTAATTGTTTAGTGAACCCTTAACTTTGCAAGAAAAAATCTACCCTAAGAAACAACATTTAGAGATAAATCATTTACAATAGTGATCTACAGGAAGAGAAAATAATAAAATAATTTTTGTTTTGAGGTCTGGGTTCCATATATTTTATGCCATTTTTAAGCTATTAAAAAAACCGAACTACTGAACAGATTTGTGGAAGGCGCTTAAAAATGGTAACTTTAAAACTTTCAGTAGTGTTATATATTAAAAAAGTTTATTTCTGAATTCTTTTTTTAGTTGCTATGAATGAGATATGGAGAGGGCAAGTATGGGAGGCGGAATTAAGGAGGAGGGGTTATGGCGTAATTGGGGGAGAGTGAAGGAAGAGGGGAGAGAGAAGGAAGAGGGGAGAGAGAACGAAGGGGGGAGGGAGAGAAAGAACAACGAAGGGAGAGGGGGAACGAGGGGATTTTAAATGGTATGGTTTCGAGATAAAAATATTTTCAATGCGACAGACAGCGCGCAGTTTATATTGAGAAGAGAATGCTAAGGAGATCACAAAGCAAGCAATGGAGAATATTATAACATGTTACTAAGGTTATAGTAGTTTCAAACACATTTGCAGGAAGCTGGAAACTCAAAAATCTCCTTACAATCATTCCTCCTTTCTTTCTATCTTTCTTTCTCTCTTTCTTTCTTTCTTTCTTTCTTTTTTCTTTCTTTTTTATTTCTTTTTTCTTTCTTTTTTCTTTCTTTTTTCTTTCTTTTTTATTTCTTTTTTATTTCTGTCTTTTTTCTTTCTTCCTCTTTTTTCTTTTTTCTCTCTTTCTTTTTTCTTTCATACTCTCTTTTTTTCTTTCTCTTTCTTTTTTTCTTTCTGGACGCAACGGGTAACCGGCTGTCGGCTGGAAAAAGCCCTAAAATTTCATTTCAAAAGTACCTTTATTAATAATATTGTAGTTGCAGGCAATCGCCGACCAAAATTAACTTTTACAATGTCTGAAAATTCAGATAATTCAATAAAAATTGGATCTGTGTTATTTTTATCTGTGTTAAGTGCACATTGCCCCATCTAGTAGAAAACCCATACTTTGAGCCACTTGTTAGAAACAAATTAATTCGATGAGAATCTTCAACTGCCAAAATATCCGGTGTAAATTCAAGGAGCCGTAACATCGGCCAGATCGATCGGAGAACATCAGTTATGGTAAAACCTCTGCCTACGCTGTATGCTTTTCACAGATCCGTGCGGAGAGTTCACCTGATCCTTCACGGACGGATGGCCGTTTTGTCGTGAACCAGTTTTCAGTGTGATTGCGAGAATATTATTTCAGTGGGTTTTGTCTCTTCTTTGCAATGGCGTTGTTACGTCGTCAAATGGCGTTTCGTAAAGTTATGTAAACTAGAGAAGTCCAATACAAGTCAGTTACCTCATTCTACTTCGTGTGACGTTTCAGCTCAATAGGAACATTGGCTTGGCATTCGCATACCCACATTTCTAAAGTAACATTTATAGACCACGGGAGAGCTTCGTATTGCCCAGACATTAGGATCGTAGGAGACACACAAGATAAGATAAGATAGGTTGTCTTTAAATGCAGTTGATAAAAACACGGTAGCAGTGATTTAGGGAATAAATTAGGGGACTGAAGTATCTTTATCTTTCTTCACTATGATTCTATAAATGCTTTTCACGTTGTGGAGGCACTATGTGCTTTATGGAGAATCCCCGCTTGTTTCCAACTCGACACATTCGCTTGCCCGCTTGCTCGAGAATCTTCAAAATTACTGCTTCCTATCTCATATGCGTCTACTGAAAAAAAGTTTATTCGCACACATTATTATAATAACAATATTTTTATTATCTAATACACAGGGACCCTTCATATGTATTCTCGTATAAAATGAAGAAGAAATCGTAATTGTTGAATGTGTCGTTAAATATTGATTAATTTAATTATTGATTGATTTATTAATTTATACAATAAACTGTTCACTACGACTTATGTTTGTCAAACTTTCATCTAAGTACACTATGTCGCTTTTCTCATTTCTAAACTGTCTCATTTATCGAAGATATGAATGTTGCCACATTATTTTATCATTACTTTATATTATTACATACTTTTTCTCGCTTTTCAAATTCAAATCCCGTTTCTATCAAAGATTGATAAAATGTGCAATATTTGAATTTTGGTAAATGTTTACAATTTATATATTTCATTACATACGCGATTGTTGCAGAATGATTTTTAAATAGTGACGGATTAAATTTGATCCATACCGTGTGTACAAAATCGTCGCACTTTACTTTCTTACTGGTTCTTGACTTCAATCCAATTCCCTTTATTTTTCTCTGTTGTTATTCCTCCGTTCTCATTTTCCTTTTTTTTCTAAAGAAGGAAAGTGTGCTTATGCCTGATACTCAACAAAATTCAGTCAAAAAACAGTGAAAACTGTATATGGCGTATGGGGGAGAAAATCAACTGCGTAAGTTTTCTTTTTCAGATCTCTAACATTTTTAATTTTTTTTTCAACTTTTAATTATTCCTCCCTTTCACCTGCGATCCAGTTTGATCTCTTAATATTAACACACTAAGCGATTGACTAAAATACTTACTTACTTTTCTTCACAACGCCACATCCACCACCTTCACCCAGCAAGATGAAATCCACGAAAGGGCTGTCGTGATCATTAGTGTTTTGTTTTGGATAGTCCCTTTCGCTGGAAACAAACAAACCCTTCCTTTCAGCGTTACGGTCGCACACCCCGCATCTATGCAAGGACTTTTCGTTGCGTTGCGTCTTCCGTCGAGCCTCGCATCTTCGTAGCACGTCACGCAGACTCGACTTGTAAACAAACGACAAATACACTGCAGAAGACCTTCGGATGATGATAGAAAATAATTTCATAATTTTCGCCGAACCTTTGTCGCTGAAAGTATTTAATAGGACTTCAAAATCAAAAATATATATTCAAAGCACAATTTAATTAATTTTATAGCGACGATACACTCAAATGCACAATGTAAAATTTCACACATTTTTGTTGATATTTCATTTTTTATATTGACACATTTTGACGTTTTGGTGAAATAAAATCATTTCCCCGAGCTGAAGTAACTTAAAACTTTTTTTTTTTCAAAATAATGTTCCGAATTTTTACTTTCCGGTATACGTACGTATATACGGAGTAATATACATAGTATAGGGGAAGTTATGTAATACTGTGGAAAATCTATTTGGAGATCTCAAAGGAAATACACGTTTAGGGGTCCTCTGATTCCTAAAAAGTGTTTTTTTTCAAAAGTCCTTCAGTCCGTCTGTCTGTCCGTCCGTCTGTCAGCTTGCGAACACCACTAACGCCTAAACCATACGTACGGTTTTTTCCAAAATGGATATTCCCGGGCGATCTGGCGCCACTCTAGGCGCCGATATTTTGAAAAACTTTCTTCAAAATTTGGGGGTATTTTACACGAAACCCTCCGGACATTTTCAAAATTTTCTCAAAAACCGCTCCAATGTTTTCTTTAAATTTCCACTTATAAAGGTGGCTTATGCCTGATTTTCACTGTTAACTCTGAATTTTAGAAAATTGCAAAAATTTTGAATTTTTCCGCGTCTTCCTACAACTACAAAATTTAAGATAGACGTTTTTCCTTCATACATACTTTCCACAGTTTTTAAAAAATTTTAGTAGTTTTGCGTGCAATATTTGCAATTTTAAAATATTACAAAAACAAGATTTTCTCAAAAATGGCTCCAATTTTTTCTTTAAACTTTTGTTACGGATAATGCTAAACGCACTCAATGCTTAACGCGCTGTAAAACGGCGTAAACGCCATACTGTTCTATTTATTTGTTTTTTCAAAAATTACAAAAATGTAATTTTTTGGACTTGTCTCTCACGTCGTCAATATTATTAGTAGCGCCGAATTGTTCACATTAGTTTATTTATGAATACATGTGCTTTAAATAATGTAGAATAACGTTTCTCAAACACTCAGTCGTATTCTATGAAAACTAGCAACAAACTTTCTCAACGATCAAAAGCTTTAAGAATTTTTTCTTAAAACGTTTCGAACGGATAGTGCTATTTGCACCCTTTAATATAACGTTTTGACCACTTCGGGGATTTTTTTTCCAAAAATTACTCACATGTAATTGTTTTGAAAGATTTCTTTGTAAATGTACTTTGGTCGGCGATAGATGGCATCGGGCAAGAATGTATGGCAAGTTCCAATAGCTTGCCGAAACTAATACGGGAAAGTCTATGCCATTACTTGAACTACTAGTTCTACTTGTTTTTGCAACAATCGATTTGGCAACAGTGCGCGGAATTCTTCCATGAGAGTAGTATTGTTCATAAGAACCCACTGTTCCTTCTGGACATGAAAAACCGTATAGTACATAAGCCAGTGGTCATTCACAGGATGAATGAATATTTGAAGAGATCTGGTTTTTAAACTTTATTAAGGTTTAGAAGACAGGCTTTTGGGGGATTTGTGTATAATTTCTATTGTAAGATTTAAAGAAAAGCATTCTCTGATAAACATGCCATCACGTTTATAATACTTTTTCCAACGACATATTTATTAGTTACAGTTTGTCTTTGATGGCTTCCCTAAAAAAATAAGTAACACCACTATGGTCCGATTAAATTAAGTTGGTTATTGACGGTTGTGCTTCTGAAGCTATTGCTTCATTCAATGTGAGTGTATGATTTGGTAACTTTTATAAGTGTTCATTTCAAATGTTTACTTTCGTGTGTCGGGAACACGTGCTCAGTGGTGCGCAATCTGCAAACATCCCTCATTTCCACCCGCAATTGGCAATCACCAACTAATTTTAATCCGATTATAGCTCAATTTTCTTCGACATTCTTTGAACTGGAGCACGAGGCGTCATAAAATTGCTGGCACACACGTCGCATTCATAATCTCTAAGGTTCCTGCTCAGAAGTCATCATTGTTTCAGAATAATTCATTGTTAGGAAATACTATTATATAAAATTAAGACTATTCAATCTGAAGGCGAAAGATGTTTTATGAAAGGTTTAAAATAAAAAAGGAAATTACTGCCATTTTCATATTTTCGAGAAAAGTAAGTTGATATATTCGTTAAACCTATTGGCAAGTACAACTTCTGCCATTTATTATTCTCTCTTTACACTACCAAGAAATGGGTCTGGACTTAGTTTCTATTTTATTTAGGGCTTTATGCATTCATCATTATTCTATTAAAAACTAAATGAAACATAAATGGCATTTGCCTACCTCCTTTTTTATTTCAAATCTTCATATGTAAGAAATGACTTATAATTTAACCCTATAATATTTATAATTTGATATGAGATGGTTTTGATTCATCATGAGAGAAATATTGTGAGAGAAACTTTTCATTCGTATTGCATTAGTGAAGTTAGGTTCATGAATAGCAGAAGCAATCACTCATTTCTTTCCAAATTCCTTACCGTAATTTTCTACTGGTTCTGCAGACGTGATACCTTAAATTAGGGTTTTCCGTGGGTTTTCTCATTCATTAACCCTTGAAACAAGTTGTTCAAATAAAAGTCCATGTTGAATGTTTCATTGTCAGTCATGCTGAATAATTCATATTTATTTGATCCTGTTCTGTTGGCATGGAACTTTGGCAGATCATTTGTGATGGAATACTGCGCTCTTGAGTGATTAACACTATTTGGTCTAAATCAGCCTTGTTCGTCCAAAGGTGAATACAGACGATTAAGCATTCCTTATGATAGTACTCTTACAATTTACATCCTGGAAGTACCATCGTTCCTTTGCCCCTACCAGTTACTGAACTGGTTGCAAGAATTCGCTTTCGTAGGGTTCGAATGTAGAGCAAAATATCGTAGGAAATTTGAGTTTCAACTACAGTACTACTATGTAGTTGACAAAATATGCATACAAATATGCATATTATGCTAGGCTCACTAGGTAACGGGCCACGTCATTCCCCTCAGTCGTTTAATTTGTTCACCCTTAATCCCGTCAAAGTTGTATTTGTCAGCAGTGTATTGACAGGTCAATGGGTGAAGGGCTTTGTAATAAATACCACCACTGTAATTTAAGAACTATTTTCGATAGAGTCACTTAATAAAGTTCGAAATTTTCTTGTGACAAATAGTTATTTACCTGCTCACGAGTTGCTACAACGTATGATAAATTTCAGTTATACCTTATTGCCTCTAAGAAGCAATTTAGTGTAAAAATGTCAATATACTAAAACATCTCGTAAGTTACACATTACGTCGTTTATTCTACCACTCTGTATGACACTATTAAATTTCTGTTATTTCCAATAATAATATACAAGTTGGGACATCGTCGCTGATATTAAGTGTTAGAACAGTCCTCTTCAGGTGGTGCAAAGTCATAATATCGTATCCTTCATTTTGGACGTTCTGTCTCTCATAAGTGGTAATCACTTCATCTTTACAGTATCTAATCTGGAAACAACGCTTACCATCTTGTTTTGTATTGAACGATAGATTCCTATATCTGATTACGAATATCAGTATAAAAAATATTATTAGGTTATATTTTAAGATATCTGAGGATAAGATGATATCTAGCAATGGAAAAACAAACACAACTCTTGAAGTAAAAATTAATTCGTAAATATTCTTAACATGCTGATTTAAGAGATACTTAATCACACTATCAAAAAATTCTTAAGGTACTCGAGCAAATGTCAATAACCATTCAACATTTATCCTTAAATACGTTAATTGTAGACAATGTTTGTTTTTCACCTACAATTGCCTTGTAATATAGTGATTTATAATATGAAATACTGAGTCACTGATGGCTATAATGTTTTCTCAATTCCTTCAGCCTACTCGATTTTTCGACATGATTCTGTCCTTTCATTTACTTTTTAATAAGTTTGTGTAAGTTTATATTTCAGTATCATTTCATCATGAAACATGTTTCGTTTCTTTCTCAAACTAAGAATAGGAAATTTGAACAGGATATAAAGGATAAAAAAGACCAAAAATTACAAAAATGTATAAAACTGCTTCATTCGCAAAACTATGTACATTTAATGCTTATATAAGTTGTAATATGTAAAAAAGCTATGTAAATTTAATGATTATTACGTCTGTAGTAGCGGATTTCATTCTTCTCACAGCCTCGACTGAAAGAAAAAGAAAAAAATGATTACTAATATTCATACCACAAATACTTTCCCATTGTGAGGCAAAGATTTGAATACTCACGTCGACAGTGATGGCCAGCACGCCATCCTCTTCGGAGGACCTGATTTGAATGGAGGCCCGTCCGTCGCTGCCCACAGTGACGCTCTTCCCGGTGCAGCTGCTGCCCGACTTCAGGCCGGAGATGAGAGTGGTCCGTCCGTGTGGAGAGCGCTACCAGCCATCCTTCCTACAAGCTGGTCACCAGTCCGGAGACGAGCGCGTTCGCAGACATGCGTGCCCGCTGCAAACAACTCGGCGTCATGGTAAACGCCGACATCACACCGTCCTCGCCACGAGCGCGAACTCACACTTGGTGTGCACGTAACTCACGTAATCCTTCAACAGATTACGTGACGTAGTTTTCAACCACATGGACTGCGGACGCTAACAATGCATACGGATGTGGCTCCACAATGCAGACCCCAAAAACAGCAATACCCTGCTGTGCCCTACTGCCCGGGAATTTTCAATCCTACTTGTAGCGTCAATAATACAAACAATGCCCAAAGAGGTTATGCATTTCAATAATAATTAAAACATTCTCATTTCACCTCGGTATTACCATTACATTTGTTGGCAATTCGTCAGTCACATCATAAATTAATTTCCCAGTGTGCGAGACTGTGAACTCTGGTAGGCTTGAAAGACCTAAATCAAGGCAAGGACTTGGTACGCCAGAAGGTCGTGTCGAGTTCCTCGACACACCTCGTCATTTGGGTCGACCGGATCGCGGTATCGTTTCGAACAAAAAAGGTTGTTTCATCACGATTAACAGAACTGTACAACATGTCAACGAAGAACTTTTCTTTGCAGTGTGACGCAGCTAAACACATGGTGGCGGAGATTTGCAATCATCTACGGCAGAGTGAAGAAACCTCCAACACACCAACCATGGATTCGCAGCAGGTCGCATATGCGGCTTTCTTCTTCTCCAAGAAATCATCGATATGTGTAAGTGCAACAACGCAAGGCAGAAGCGTTTCCTGGCTTTTCATTCATTCTTTGATATACACACATACATAAAGAAATTGATTTCTTTAGATGACGGAAGCTTGTGCACAAAAAACTGACGAATACACCCAGCTTCGGTCGAGTGACGGAGTTCATATATTGGTTCGAC